GTTTTTTTTTTTAAAAGGAGGGGGAAACAAAACACCCCCCCCTTTTTTCACAAAAAAGAAGGGAGGGGGACATCGGAGGGGGGGGGGGGGGGGGGGGGGAGGTGACTATGCGAAACCACAATTTCGCAGAGGTCATAAATCATTGTTTGGTTTGAAGGCTGTAGAGGAGCATGCAAAGAAACGGGTTTAGGATATGGCGAGGCAAAGGGTGGGGACTTGCTGCCAATGCGTCTCGATGACACTCACACACACAGGCTTGTCTACGCGACGAAGCAACCGCTGTCGTCTTCGTCTTCGTTGTTGTCTTCACGTTCAAACCTCCCCCTTGTTAAGCACCTCCTCTGCCACGTCATTCCAAGTGCAGAAACCGAATTCCCGTTCATAGCGGAGTGGACAGCAGGTTTCTCCATGCGTACAGGACCCATGCGTACACACTACAAGACGAAAAGTGTAGCAAGAACTGGTCCTCAGCAGCATTCCGAGAACCATGGGGGAAAGTCGGGAGACCGCAGATGGACACACCGATGATCCACTTGCCACATGCTGGCACACGAGAGCGGCGGGCAGACCACTTTGTAGCACCGCCCTGCTCATCCGGACCCCCCTCTTCTTGCTCAATACCCTTGAGGAATACATGCGTGCCCTCACTGTGACAACCTCTCATGTTTGCCCGAGGTTCGGTTCTAACTTCCTCTGGGGGTTACCCAAACTCAAACATCTAAGTTTTAGCGTAGGACTCTTTGCTGAGCACCTGTTCTTATTGCCGTGCTTAATTTATTGGTCGAGTCAGAAGCTCTTAACTCCTCCCAAGGCTAGTATAAAGCGGTGGCGCGTTCAGCAGCGGGCAACAGCCAAGCCTGAAACTTTTTCGCCACGTCGCCCACGATAAGGCGAGCCGCCTCACCTCGTCAAACAGGCTCAAACCAAAACAAGCTTGCACAGCAGAGAGGCGAGGCAGCCTCCCTATTAGCGTGTCTCTTCCTGTTCCTGAAAGCGCCCCTCACCTTCGTGTTGAGGCCGCATAGCGAGCACGGGATCAGGTACCTCGCCTTGAAGAGCAACCTCGCCTGAAGCCAGAACAAGGACACCAGCGTACGGGGAGGGGGGAAGAGAGGGCGTGATGCTCGCGACCGCTATCGAGATGGATGTGGGCAGGCGGCGGAGCACAAGATGGGATCACAGTTCGGGTGTTGCTTGCGGGGTGGGGCACGCGTGACGGAAAGCATGTCTCGTTTTGGGGTGCTGTGAGAGGGGGAGAGCAGCGCGCACACTTGACGATCGATGAACCATGTGGGATGAACAACCACCCGTTTGAGCAGCAGCAACGCGGACTAGTGATAGTGGTGGTCAAAACGCAAGCGCCACATTCGGGAAACGTTCCGCAAAACTCAAATTCGTGCGGCATCTTGATGGACACCACCACCACAGCCTTCTTCGACATCTCATCACCATCACGTTCTGAACAACCTTACATGGCTCTCCCGACAATGTCGCCTCGCACCCACGCCCGAGGCAACCGAGCAACAAACCATAACCCTATCGCACGCCCGTCCGTGAAGATCCTCGAGTTATGGGAGTCAGTCAGTACCTTGAGCTCTTCGTGGACCTTGGCGACGGAAGCGGTCAAGCCCGAACCGGTGGTGATGCCGTCCCACTTGACCCTCTTCATCGCGACCATCATCTGGAAACGGCAACACCAGGGAAGCAGCAACAGAAGACATCAGCAGCACCAACAAAAGACTGCAGTAGGCACAACAAGTTTCAACAACAGTAACACAGCGCAGCAGCAACAACAACAGCAACAGCGGCAGCAACAGGCACAACAAAAACAGCTGCACAGCAGCAGCAGCAGCAACAGCAGCAACAGCAACAACAACGAACCTGGGCGTTAGCGAGGGCCGGGCGGCCGCCTGGCACCCTGGTGCCGTTGCACATGACCACCCCGGGTGGGAGATGCTTGTCGAGAAGGGCGGCCATGGTGTCCTCGTCAGTCTCATCGTCCACCTGGGTTCCGTGTTCATGTGCACACAAGAAAGAAGACAATAAACGTCGAGGCGGTCGGAGGACGGACCAGACGCATTGGAAGCTTTGCCACGAAGCCAAACGTCTCGCGTCTAATCGGACACTACAGGCAGCAGCAGTGTGTGTGCAACACACTGCCGATGGCGCTACCTCTAGCACGAAAGCGCCGCGGTTGTCCGTGAAGCGACGCCTCCTTATCGCGGCTCCTTCCTCCCCTTCCTCCCACTCCGGGTCCGACTGCTGGTTGTCATTGTCCTCCTCGTCCTCCTCCTCCTCTTCCCCGGCGCCGTACTGTTCCCCTGAGTAGATGAACGCCTGCAACACGGAGAACACGTGCAGAAGACGCAGTAAAAGTTAGCAACACATGGTTTTCCTCGAACGATTGTAGACGGTGAAGAAGTAAATTTTTCGAGTTTTTCGTACAAAAACAATACAAACTCAGCTCTATCTACAGGTAAGTATTCAGGATAAAGTAGCAATAATTCGTACCTGGTGGGGTTTAGTCTCACGGGTTGTAGAGATACAAAATGAAGCAAGGCTTGCATCAGACAAATTCTGTACCAGTTTATGATAAAAGAGAATAGATAATCCAGAAGCGAGCGACAGATCATGTGTAAAGAAGTAGGTGTTTCGCCGGTTACATCAAGGCCATTGAACGGGATACACAGACGTCGGGATACAGTAGTGGGGTTCCCTGTGTAGTCCGTGGTGAGACAACGCCTTGAATTTGGCCGTGAGAGTGGGATACACAGCAGATACACACACCATGAATTACCATGCAGCAGAGGTCCCTGTTTAGTGCCGGTATGTGCCCAGAAAATTCACCGGCACTATTCCGGACACCGGCACTCTTCAAATGACTTGGAAATTAAGTGTGTGCCCGCCGAAAACACCGGCACTATACCGGGCACCAACCGGCACTATTCAACCGGCACTAAACAGGGACCCCCAACTATATATGGTATTCATGGTGTGTGCGTATACGACACAGGATAACACACCCCCTGGGCCCATTTTCGAAGCTCGATTACTCCACGACCCAGGCGATGCATAAACGAAACGATACGTTTTCGGAGAGCTCTCGAACAGACGGCTTCAACGCCGCCATTTTCGGCACCCCAACTCTTCTTGCTCTTGATAAATCAAGCCTTGAAGATCGGGCCAGGGGGTTTGTTATCTTGTGTCGTATACGGTATCCCACTCTCACCGCCAAGCCTTAGGGGTTGTGTCGTCACGGACTAGTTGTTTCACATGAGCTAACATTCGACGAAGACGGCGACAACAACAACACCACCACCGTTGTTAAAAAAAAATGATTATAACACAACTTACACATCAGCAACAACGGCTCCGGGCCCCACCTGCGAGCCCAACAACCCAAGGTCCGTCTGAGACGACCGGTCGGAAGAGGAACCGGAAGACGAGTTGGACGAGGACGAGGAAGAGGAAGACGACGAAGAAGACGACGAATTCGAAGACGACGTAGACCCATCAGAGGTAGAGCCACCATCATCCTCCTCCTCCTCGTTGTCTTCGTCTTCGTCTTCATGGTCCGACAACGTCCCCATCTCCGACGGCGAGTGCATCATCATGTCGTCCTGGTTGCTGCTGCTGTTGTCACCGCCGCCGCGCAGCAGAGTCTCGCGGCCGGCGGTGGCGGCGGCGGCGGCGGGAGGGGGGGCGGCTGACGAAACCACGGCGCCCCCGCGTTGCGCGCCGGTGGAGGCCTCAGACGGCAGCAAACGAGCAGCCGTTCGGGGTTTCTGACTCGTCGCAGTCCCAGTCACCTCGCCATCATTATCGACGGCCTGCATCGCGGCGGCCGCAGTAGCAGCATCTGTGCCTGTCGTCGTTTGCAATGCAGCAGCTTGCCCGCTGCTCTCAACCATTTCCGACTCCGCATCCGGCGTGTGGGCACTTTCTGGCGGCGCACCGCCGCCGCCGCCGACACCGCTCGCCGTCCCACCACGCCCATCACCACAGTCGCCGCTGCTGGCTCCGGGTTCCGTACCCCCAGGGGAGGAATCGTCGGGGCCCCCGGAGACCTCAACAATGACGCCCATGGATGACGTCATCGTGGAACCACCATCGCCGCCGCCGGCAACGCTGCCGCTGTCGCCACTCCGCCGCCGGCCGTCGCCGTCGCCAACCCCTCCGCGGAGCGTGGGAAGACTCCGCACACCCCCCGGGGGGCTGCTCTGTTGATTTCGTGACGGCAAAGGTTGTGGTTGTGTGTGCTGGTGCTGGTGCTGGTGCTGCCCGGCGGCCGAGGTGGCCGCGGAAGACGACCCGGAACCGCCGGCGCGACCGCCATTGACTGCGCCACGGGAACTTGACTTGGAGCTGCGCTTCTTGCGCCTCCCTCGCAGCCGGCGTCTCTTCGGCGCCAACGCCTGAAGACGCTGTGGTTGCAAAGAATGCGGGAAAACCGCGGACGACGTAGGGGGGCAGGATGGCCGCGTGGTCAGGTCAGCAGCAACAACAGAAACGGCGAACATACCTGAAGGGTGTGTGCAATCTGTCTGCAAGGGAAATAGGACGTTCACCCGTGGTGCACAAATACATGATCAAGGGGACATTTGCAACGGACCGGGGTAAAGCCGACCCTGACTTGAGTCAGTCGACTCGAGACACTGAAACAGACAAAAATCAGGCAGGGCATGGCACAATCGAGGACGAGACGTGTGGCAACATCAACCAAACCGCAGCGCTTCCACGTGTAAGACCCGAAAAAATCGTCGAATAACGATATGCAAGGGCGTCCCTTCGCCACCAAAACAACAATGCTACCTGCCGATTGACAGCGCCGATCCGCTCTACCCTCGATGCCAGCGCCAACACCCTCCTCCGGGCGTCGCCTCCCCCTCCTCCGTCTTGATGCAAGGACCGCGGCGGCCTGGCCACCACCAGCTGGGGGGGCGTCGGCAGCGACTCCACGTACACCGCCGTGGCTGAGATTGATCCCACCATCAGACGTGGGCCTAGTTGAATCTGTGAAATGTGGGCGCGGTGCCAAGCAGTACGACATAAGAAACGTTCCAAGAAACGTTCCAATATGAGGGTGAAGCAAAGACGTTTGTGAGGTGGTACCGAAGCTCCCCGTGGAGCGATGGTGACGTCATACACGTAGTACAGGCTTTCGGAGGCGTCGCTGTCGCTAAGTGGCACCAGTGTTACGAGAACCTCGTCAGACTGACGCTTGATTCGGGCCAACACACGGTAAGAACAACACCACCGTCACCACCGCAACCGTCGACCAGCGAGAGCAGCAGCAGCAGCAGAGGCAAAAAATAGAAGAAGCGAAGGCGAAAACCAACAACAAACAACAACAACAACAACAACAACAACAACAACAACGACAGCAATACAGTGGTAACGCAGTGCTCCTTGAACGTGCTGCTTCATCGACTGCGCCACGCTGGCTCAACAAAACCTCTTACCGATGGATGGGAGAACCGACACACGTTGACACGTTCGACACCGACTTCCTGAACAACCACACGCTTCCGCATTTTGCTCGCTTACGCTTCGTAAGTTCCCGCAAACACAAGCGTTGAAAAACAACCATCAAAATGACAGTTTTCATGGAAAATCAACCAGCAAAATTACCGTGCGCATAGCGCTCACTTCGAGTCTCATCGACGAGACCGCACCGAAAAAGGGCCCTGACAACAACAACCGACCGCATTTTCCAGGGTCTCGGCAGGAGCAGGCGACGTCAAAACGCCGCAGCCTACGCTGCAGCTAAACCCGCGGTGTAGTGTTCGGTCACCATGGGCTTGTCGACACGATATCGTTTACGTTCTCCACGGCTTAGTGCAGTAGTCACTCAGAACATACCAATACATTGGTTCTCCTGCACAATCTTCAGGCCCACGCAACTCGCTGTGACCGAACGGTACCGCGAGCCTGCCTACACACGGACACAGGCAGGGTCTTCCGAAAGAGCCTCACGTCAGACCGGAGGGAGAACGCCGCGTTGACCCCGAGGCACTTGAGCTTGAGCATCAGCTGCCGCTGCAGCTCGTACTCCTTGCAAATGAGGGCAGTAAAAACGGCCGAGCGGGGAAAGACATGCAAATTGTCACCGAGAACGGGGGGGGGTGGCGCAAAAACGGAAGAGCGGAGGAAAAAAGACTTCAATGATGCCACCCAGCCAACGTGCACCGCACGAGTAGTTGTCACCCCGAGCTAGTGTGATTCTTGTTTTGGTAAGGTAGGGATTCAATCGTGGGTCGCTTGGGAGTTGTCATCCCGAGCTAGTGTGGGTCTTGTTTTGGTCAGGTAGGGATTCAATCGGTGGGTCGATTGGGAGTTGTCATCACCAAAGTAAGGGCAGAGAGAGAGCGAGAATCTCAACCAGTTCGTAACGTAGGCTACAAGGCAAGTCTTGAAGCATCCTGTTCTCGGTTTGACAAACAAGCATGGTTTCAGATGTTGTGGAAAGACAGTCAATCAAGGCTTGGGCACGCTTAACTAAGCAAATGGGGGAAATGGTAACTACAGATTGCACTACACCATGTCATGATGATGATGCAGGGTCACGTACCATGAAAGGCAAGGCTTCGGAAACCCGGATGGCCTCCAGCTCGCTCGTCCCCTGCCTTCTGTGGACCCTGCAGACACGTGCCTCGACCAGGCACCCCTCTCCCCTCGAGATCAGGTTCTGATGTTCCGCGGCGACAAAAACAAGGAGGTGAGGAGAGGTGAGTGACATATTTTCACTGGTCAGCCGATTCGCGCGGTCGTCGAAGGACGTATCTTCATTGGTCAACTGATTCGCGCGGTCATCGAAGGACTTATCTTCATTGGTCAATCGATTTGTGCGGTCGTCGAAGGACGTATCCTCATTGGTCAACTGATTCGCGCGGTCATCGAAGACAATACACCACACACACCTCTGGGGCCTCGACAGTCGAAAGAACCGTCTCCGCCACCCACTTCCGGCCGCACATCCCGCACGGCACGAGCCGCATGTCGGCGAAGGGGGCCTTGCGGTGGTGGTACGGGACGTGGAAGTACGAGCACGGCCGCACGGTCCTGAACGGGGGTGGCGATTCCGGCTGCTCGGGTGGTATCTGACCAATCACGAACGGAAACCAGGGGGCGACGTGAACACAATGGAACCACGCGGAATGACGCCTGAAGACTCGTCGAAAGACTAATAGGAAGATGGGGGAGGGCGAAAGGGGTATTTGATGTAACGCGGCCGGGAATCGGCGCATCAACGAAAAAATATGTAAATGGAGCTCAAGGACCCAACGAATGCCCCTCAACTCGCTCCCCCTATCCTTTCTCTGTGTCATGCACCTACAATATGCTTTGTGTCACGCGATTCATGGGGCCAATGCCAAACCATGATAATATTTGCAAGGTTCGCCATGCAATTTTCAAGTCCGTCGTGCCCATCGCACGTTACACCCTTCTTCTCGCCCCACGCGTCGCAAAAACCGAAACCAGGGTACCAGGTATCATCTACTACAAACCTTGCCGCGATTCTTCGTCCTGCGAGCTGAATGCCACGGCCGTCCTCCTCCTCCTCCTCCACCTCCTCCGACCTCGCCCGACACTCCCATCGACGCAGCGGACAAGCGCCGCGAGTGTTGGCGTTGGCCGCCCCCCGCCTGAGTCCTATCGCCAAAGCCACCACCGCCAGGCCCATCGCCGCCGCCGCCGCCACCCTCGCCGTCGACACCAAACCCCTCCACCGTCATGCCCCCGCCCCCGGCCCCGTCTTCTTTGCCTTCCCCACCGGCGTCGCCTCTAACGAGCTCTTCGCCCGGTTGATGGTCGTCGGTCGCCGCCCCCGGGGGAAGGCTTTCGTTCACGGTCGAGAGGTCGTCATCGCCCGCTCTAGCCTCACCCCCGGTTCTGCCGCCGCTGTTGCCCTTCGCGGTGCCGCTGGGGTCTACGGTTGACGTTGCTGACGCTGAGGGCTCTCCCGATCGCCGCTCTCCCCTTTCTCTCGAGGGAGTCTCGTCATCTCTACCGGTCTTGCCCGGTGCCCCCGCGCTATCACCACCCGCTCTTTCGTTCGGAGCCGTCCCCCGCCCATCCCCGCCCGGCACCGTGATATCGAAGCTCCGCCTGTTGCTGGACACCGGCAGCCTGTTCCAAGACGACGACAACGGTAGCCTAGAGCTATGATGTTCGTCCTCTCCCGCTGCCGTTCCGGTGCCGGCGGAAGAACGCCTCCGGTACGACGGCCGATCCCCGGCGCGATCTCCCCCCCCCGCCCCCCCCCCTCCTGCCGCGGAAAAC